GGGGGGGGGGGGGGGGGGGGGGGTGGCAGTAGCGAGGTGTGAATGATCGACTATCGATATTTCCCCATTTGAAGCTACCGTAAAGAATCGATTATTAAGGTGTTCGTTGGGAACGCCCTCTTTATCGATCATTTTCTTGGGTTTAAATGGCAGATCAATCGATGTATCGCAAAGCACGTCCGAGTCTATGGGGGGGGAGTAACATGCAGAAAATAAGAATGGCTGCTCACCATCTTCCTTAGGCTCTGGGATTGGTCGTTGTTCCTGTAACACACAAAACAACGATGCTTTTAATTGACCGTTCCACACAATGCAAATTTTATCGCTCGAAAATGAGTATTTTACGATTAAAAAAATAGCATTCCTCGTCGGGGTCGTCACATGCCTTGATTCTACAATCGCAGTTTTCCTGACCGGTATGAAAATTCAAATCTGGCGGGGACTGATCGTTTTCGAAAGTTTTCAAGGGGAAAAATCTCAAATTTGATGAAACAATTTGTACAGGATTCAAATTTACATACTTATTTTCCCTTAAAATGAAAAATTTTTTGGTGGGAACCAGAAGTGTTTTCTATTCTGGAAGATTTGTTAGATAACATGAAGAGACAACATTTTTACAACACTGTAATCACGCTGGTTATTTTTTGCTAAATGCGATCCAATTACATGTATAAAAATTTAAATATTAATCAATGTTTTTGAAACATTCGGAGACTTTGAAAAGTTGCAACGAAGGCACACATTTTCCGGTCTCAGCCGACGATTTGTAATCTCTAGGTAGAGCAATCTCAACGAGGCGCGTTGGGTGAAAAAGAGAAGTTCTGTAATTATGTATATAAATTGTATAAAAAATTAAAAGTGGATCAATATTTATGCAACATTCGGAGATTTTGAAAAATTGCCACGAAGGCACACATTTTCCGGTCTTAGCCATCGATTTGTAATCTCTGAGTAGAGCAATTTCAACGAGACGAGTTGGGTGAAAAAGAGAAGTTCTCGACCGAGACCCCGAACTTGTCAATTTTTCATATTCTTTATGTTCGGGAGCGGCTTCGGCTCGTAAGTCTTTCGGGAACGCCGACTCCTATCCAGGGCATCAAGGCTGCCAACACCATTCCGCAGTTTATCATCTTTTGTTCCAACCAGAGAATTCTCAACTTATCCATTGTTTGTAAATTGTTTTTGAAGTGCATGCATTTTTGAAACTTATTAAAGTACAAACTGCTTCACTTTGCGTTGCGGAAACCTCCGTTTTTTACTTTATTGGAGTTCGTTTCCCGATGTTATCGTGGTGCGTCTGTTCTATTTTCCTCAAAGCGACTGTTAACAGTTTAGTTTTTCGCGATGAACGGGGTGGGAGAAGTTTCGCGAGAAAAATTCATCGTGTGAACTTTCCCATGCGTGCTTTCATCATTATCTACACAATAAAAAAATTCTGTTTTAAAACGACTCAATACTTTCTCGGAAATAATTTTTTTTTTAAAATCTTAAATGTCCTGAGATATACGTGCGCTCTGTCGAAAAGTCTTGTTTTTTGTGAGAATTTTTTTCCTGTGAAGTTGTCGAGAAAATCATCTCCAACATCCCGGAAATTCTAAGTTGAAGGTAAGACAGCTTTCCCAATTTAACACTTAAATTCTCAACGTGACCGTACTGCGGACTGATTATTGAAATTGATAGACAAAGAAGACATAGGGAGTATGGAGCGATCCTATTGGTTGAAATGGGTGGTTCCTATAGACTAAGGGAGAAAATGATGGACTAACCATTGGGTCTCTCGTGCGGGCTGCTGTTCGTTAGTTTATAACCTACCTCGTTTGTCCATTGCAACCACCCGCTTCCACCAATGGGATCCCTCCATATCTCTTTTGTCTTCTTTGTCTATAGCTTTGTCTATCAATTTCAATAATCGGCCTGCAGATCGTACTAGCCGTTTCGGGGAAAAAAGGATCTTCTTTCTCGGTGACAAATTTTTTAGGATTGCTTCAGGATCTCTATAGTGAGTGCATACTCGTAGAAAATTCGGAACCAAAAAGTCCTCTAATATCCTTTTAAATAAATGAAAGATGATTGGTAATTTCGAAAAACTACATTAGCTATATGTATTTCCATAAAATTCCCGACAAAATGCAGTTGGCTATTATTCAATTCTATACGTTAATCTCCTTACTATTTTTAGTGCACGAACATAAGTTTATCAGTCAATTAAAAGGTCTTATCAATTTCCCTACCTCACGCGATTAATTAGTTTTGCTGAAAAAATGAAATAAAAATGTGAATGAAATAAAGTTGGAGATAAGATGGAATCCTCTAGAAAAGTTTCAAGATTCGAGAAATCGAGCCCCACACGCACTTGAAACTTCAACCTCTTGAGTGACCGATCGCAGATATTTCAATAAAATGCATGATGCTGATAAAAGAAGCTTCTCTTCAAATTCAAGTTCAATAAGTTCTCGTACGCTCGGCGTGTTCGATAAATGATTAGGCAATCAAATTCTAACAAGAACTTACGTATTTTTTCGCTGCACGCATTGTTCAGAGGAGATATCTGGTAAAATTAGCACTTCAAATATATTCTGACTGAGCATTGACAATAAAATCCGACTATAAAACTAACAAATTGCTATTGAAATTCATCCAAAGTAATTTGAAAATGTAATTAAAGTATCATTCAAGAATGATTGTAAAGTCTTTCCACAATTTCTTAATTTTATAAATTCCAATTTCATAAAATTGTAAAGTTTGAAAATTAAACGTAAGTTAACTTAAGGCAAGGTTTTTTCTACATATCCAGGAGAAAGGGAACAGAAAACACTTTGGTGAGATAGGCGTAGTGGTAAAAAAAAATATAGGGGAAAAGAATTTCCCGTCTGCCTTTTTTTCCCGCTTTTTTCTTTTTTTTAATGTTCCGAGAGCCTGGAAGTAATAAAACCCACCATAAAACAGGTTTATGAAGTAGTTAATCTTACATTAAAGATTTTTTTTATTTGTCCTCGCAAAAAAAAAAAAAAAAAAAAAAAAAAAAAAAATCTTACGCTGCGCAATAAGAAAACTTCGTGTTATGTTTACGAAGCGACTTACTGCGCCAATTAATATTTCGGTCATGACAACGCGATCTTTGTGATGAATTCAAATTCAACTGATATCTTTGGCTTTTTTTTTGGGGGGGGGGATAGGCATTTTCTGGTAATTTAAGTTCATTATGATGGATGTACATTTAAATTAATCGCGTTCATAAATTCTGCCGTTAACTTCATATGGATCGTCTAAACTCATGAAATTACGACTTCATGAGACAAGATTTATTGCAACAGCGCACAGAGTCGTTAGCGTGAACTGCGCCTTACCATCGTATGTTTGCACAGCGTCTCAAGAGCACTCCTAGTTCGCGGGAAGAAAACAAGAAAAAGACAAGTAGAAAAAAGTTGTGCACCTTCTTCGCGGGTATGCAGTGCCTTCTCGAGAAGTTACGTCACGCACAGTCAGCGTGATACGTTGAAAGATCGAAAGCTCGACTTGGAACGAGAAGCGAGGTGTTTTGTATTAGTGACCTGGTCCTAGCTCTGAACTCTTCCAGACTCTTCGGCAGACGTCTGCCTTTTTTTCCTCGTCTAATCTCTCAGCATTATTAATTTTTTTCTCGTCATTCTGAGTAAACGAACGAGCGCGAACCGTCTCGGGCGGACCATCGCAATTTATTACGCATATTTAGCCGTGCCAAGCAAAAACGCCGTATGAGAATTCGAATGTTGCCAAATTTCCTCTCAGAAAGTATTGATTTTTGAAGAGAGTTATGAATATTTTTCCTTGGAATTTTCAGACTTTTTAGATCAAAAGAATGTATTTCTACCATAAACGGAACTATGTGCATTATGAAGTGAGTCCCGTTATGCATATATTCTTATGGGTCGCAGGGCTCATGTCGTAATGCACATAGTTCCAATTGATAGGAATACGTCTAAATTACGGAAGAAATCAGCTGAAAAATCGGAAAAGAAATATTCATACATTTGCTTAAAAATTCGCATTTTTTCTGAGGAAATTTGGCAACACCTGATGGCTCATATGACGTTCCTTCTCAGCACGGCAGTACTGATCGACGACCTCCGGGCGACCAAACAGAGATAGGAAAATTACTAAGCGCAAAAAACTCAGAGGAGTGGTTTCAGATGATGGACCTGTCGTTCAGGCTCGCCACATCCCATCTCGGGCCTTGGTACCAGTTTTCTGGCCCGGGCCCTTAGCACAGAGGGGGGTCTGGGGGGCCTCCCCCGGGAAATTTTTGAAATTGTAAATCTATTTGGACGGATTTTTTAAGCTCTTATGATGGAGATTTTCTATCAATTTCGGCAGAATAATTACGCCTTTTTTTTACTTTCAGCACCAAAGACTTTCGAATTGTTGCATTCAAACCATGTATACATTTTTTTTGAGGAAGGCAGATGATACTTTTCAATTCTAGGGGGAGCCGGGCCCCCCTGGACTCCCCTTCCGTACGTCTATGGCAAGGAAGTTGAGCCATTGAAGTCGAGGATGCCCAGACAGGAGCCTCCTAGCATCCGGCAACGGAAGAAAATGAAAAGCAGTTACTAAAAATATCATTCTACATATACTCAAAATCTTGAAAATAGATAGAAATCTCTAAAAAAGTAAGAAAAATTGTACAGTGCACTAGCGTGTTTTTGAAACTTTATTCACCTTTTACGGAACTTTTAGGGTAATTTCTTCACTTTTCCTTACGAGACAAGGGTTACACATGAATTCGTAGTGGTTCGTCACCTGCGTCAATGGCCCCTCCAGGGCCCGGGCCCCGGTACCAAGGACCCAGTATCCCCCCCCCTTGTGGCGGGCCTGCTGTCGGTAATGGAAGATGTTGAGATCTGTTAGCGAGCTGATCAATGAAATCGACTGATAGAAGAGACGAATAGAAAATGGAGGGATTCTATTGGATGGAGCGGGCGGCTGTAATGGACCGCGGAGGTAAGTGATCGACCATAATTAACGGCATCCCATGAGAGACCCTATAGTTAGTCAATTTTTTTCTCCCTTAGTCAACACGTAACAATCTCCCGTTTCAACCTATAGGATCGCTTCATTTTCTCATTGTCTTCTTTGACTATAGCGTTGTCTATTAATTTATAAATAATTAGCCCTCTAGATGGCATATAACGAACATAAGACAACTTGGAAATCGCGTAGTTTCAACATTTTGGCAACGTTGAGGGCTGAATATTGGAAAAGTGAAAATTCACTATGAGTGTCCC